TTGTGCACATGCATACAGAGGTGTTAGTGGATACATGTGTGTACACATTTGTGCACATGCATACAGAGGTGTTAGTGGATACATGTGTGTACACACTTGTGCACATGCATATGGAGGTGCTAGTGGATACATGTGTGTACACATTGTGCACATGCATATGGAGACTCAGTTCCTATTTACCTCATTCTTTGAGACAGTTTCCCACTTGCCTGAGACTCACAGGCCAGCAAGCCCGGAGAACTCCCTGTCTGTGCCTCCGCAGTGCTGGAGTACAAGTGTGCTCCATTACTCTGACTTTTATGTGGGTTATGTGGGTTTTACTAGACACACACACACACACACACACACACACACACACGTATCAGGAACTATTGGGGTCCAGCCCCTTGATAGTCCTCTCCCAGGGTCTGTAGAAGAATCTACAACCAGCTGATAATCTAGTCTTTGACGATAGTAAATGAATCTACATACACAAAATTCTTTAGTCCATACACTTTATTCTTCTGAGTCAGTTCTCTCTCTACACAGCTTCAGTTCTGCTCTCGTGCCTAGCTCCTTTCTTGCCTGATTTCTCTCTCCATTTATCTGCTGTGCCCTCTAAGTTCTAACTTAATTCTCTCATCTTAGTTCTGCTCCATCTAGGTTCTCATCCATCTAGTTCTTTCCATATCAGCTCCTCTCCCATCTCCTTCTCTCTCATCTTGTTCTTCCTCATCTTATTCTTCCCCATCTGGCTCTTCCTCATCTTCCGTCTCATCCTTCCAGTTCTCTCTTCTAGTCCTTCAATCTAGTTCTTCCCATCTCAGTTCCTTCTCCTCCAGTTCTTACCCATCTAGTTCTTCCATTCTCTTTTCTCTTCTCCATCTCGTCATTCTCTGAAAATAAAACTGCCTTTTACCCCTTGACCCTTATCTCTCCAAGCTATCTCTGCTCCTGCCTTTTTTGGCGAGTGTGCTCAGTCTCTAGGCAACTTCAATCACAGCTGGATGTACCTGTAAGTTGGAACCCTTTAGTTCTGAGTTCATTGTTAAGGGTGGACTTAAAACTAGAGATGAGACTTTGGAAAGGAGAAAATTAAGCTTAATTAGCACATCTGCCAGGCCTTCTCAAACAGAGTCTGGATGCTTAAGTCTGTTCTTAGAGAATCTGTGAGGTACCTCAGATAAGATCCGTCTGTCTCGGATGGTCCTGGCCAGATGCTGCCAATGACAATAACTACAGAAAGGCCTGACATTAGGGGTTCTGACTGTGTCTGTTGTTGCACAGTTGGAGAAAGTTATACAAATATTTTAATTGTGTAGGGGAAAGTGTGCCCAGTGAATAATGGAAAAGCCACAAGCACATGAGAAATTCATAGCAGGAAACGGCTAATAATCAAAAGCCAATATCACCAAGACTCCTTGAGCCTTGACCTCATCGTCTGAAAGAGTTCTCACCTCTTCCAGGTATAGCTTTGTCCTAATCAGCTGAATTCCTACTTCATATATTTTTCTCATCCTGCAGCACACATACAAACAAATAAGATGCTTAAAAAAATTTAAGGCCTAGAGAGATGACTCAGGAGTTAAGAGTATTTGTTGCTCTTGCAGAGGACCAGAGTTCTGTTCCCAGCACCCAAATGGTGGCTCACAACTACCTGTAATTCCTGCCCCAGGGGATCTGATTCTCTGTTCTTACCTCCAAAGGCACCAGCACTCATGTACACATTCCCACACAAATACATAGTGTCTTAGTTAGGGTTTCTATTGCTGTGAAGAGACACCATAACCACAGCCACTTTTATAAAGGAAAGTATTTACTTGGGGTGGCTTACAGTGCAGAGGTTTAGTCCACTGTCATCATGGTGGTAAGCAGGCAGACATGGTGCTAGAAAAGGAGCTGAGAGTTCTTATATTTTGATTCACAGTCAATAGGAAGTGGTCTGGGCATGGCTGGAGCATATGTGAAACCTCAAAGTCCACCTCTACAGAGACACTTCATCCAACAAGTCCACACCCACTCCAAGGCCACACCTCCTAATAGTGCCACGCCCTTTGGGGGGCAGGTTTTTTTCCAAACCACCACAAATAGTCATGCACATAATTAAAAATAAAGTAAATATTTGTTTGAGACAAGGTCTGTAGCTCTGGTTGTCCTCAAACTCATAGAGATCCTCCTGCCTCTGCCTCCTGAGTACTAGGATTAAAGGTGTGCACCACCATACTCGACTAAAGTAATTTTTTTTAAAATTCTGGTTTCTGTGTTTGCTGAACCTTGAGGAATAAGAGTTGTTCTCTAATATATGGATAGACTCTTATTAGTGCTGTGAATACAATGTAGAGAAGACATATAAACAAAAAAAACATAAATTTGACTTAAAATTGTTTTTAAAATGCTTATCAGAGGCATGTATGTATAGAAAATGTAAAGTATACACTCTTTAGCAGGAAAAAGTAACAAGACTATTATATAACTTTCTAATTGAACTCACATGCAGAATTTTTTAACTCTTTAGGACTGGTGATACAGCTCAGTGGTAAGAATGTTTGCTAGCAAACATGTGGCCCTGTGTTCAATCTCTAGTGCTGCAAAAAAAAAATAAGGATTTGTAGTCACTTAGAATTGTTAAACATTTTTGGACGACCAATATGCTACTGCTTGGTGTTAAAATATACTATTACAGGCATTTTTAATTGCATTGTGTGTGTGTGTGTGTGTGTGTGTGTGTGTGTGTGTGTGTGTGTGTGTTCCTACACCATTGTGCTTGTGTGGGGCTCAGAGGACAACTTGCAAGAGTCAGTTCTCTTTTTAAACCTTGTGGGTCATGGGATTGAACCCAAATTAGGCTTGGCAGCAAATGCCTTTGCCAGCTAAGCTATCACAAAGTCCCTAAAACATCTTTTTTTTTTTTTTTCAGTCTGTTTTGGCAGATGTTTGAAACAGGGTTTCCATCTCTCAGGCTGGTTTTAAGACAGGGTTTCTATCCCTCAGGCTGGTTTTGAGACAGGGTCTCCATCTCTCCCAGGCTGGTTTTGAGACAGGGTCTCCATCTCTC